AATCGACTCAGAGTCCCGGAAACGCTCAGTTCTCATCAGCTCCCAGCCGTGGGGTGGCCGTGCGGCTCAATGGTTAAGCCCAGGCTCAGGCGCCAGGCTGCCGGCAGCCACCCCCACCTGACCAGCTGTGTGACCGGGGCATGTTGTTCAGCTGCCCGGTGCCCCCGCTGCCTCACCTGAGAACAGGCCCTCCCTGCCCTGACCCCTGGGGATGCTGACACACTCGGTGTTCAGAACTCTGCTTCGTACAACACAGGCTTCCGATGACGTTCACGCGGGCGCTGGGGGAAACAGTACTGCTCCCCGCTCTCCAGGCAGCTCCCAAAATAACAAGTAAAATGCAGGGTCCTGGGCCTGCGGCCGGGTCTCAACACGGGCCGGTGGCTGCCCGGGGCGGGGGCAGAGTAGCTGCTTCTGCGGGCACCGGAGGAAGAACGTGGGCGAGGCCTCCCGGAAGCAGCCGGCAGAGGGACTCTTGGGAACAAGGAGGCGTCGTGTCTGCTGCAGATGGAAGACGACCCCAGCAGAGTTTAACAAAACCCTAAAATGCATTCCCATTCCAGCGACACGCCGCGGCCCAGGGTGCCGTGATGAGGCAGGGAGAAGGCGCCCCAGGGAGGCAGAACCCCGCGGAGTCCGGGTGCACCCGCTGCTCTGCCAGGTGCGGCCCCTGTTGCGAGGGGTGGAGAAGCCTGTGGTCACCAAACACCAGCCACCTCAGGGAGACACTGCCGTGTGCCACACGCACGCACACAGGAGTGTGCCCGCACTCCCTCTACGTGCCAGGGAAGAAAACCACGGCACTCGGGCCATGTTCCCTGGCTGACGTACCTTCACAGCGTCCGGACTCCGACCTGAGACTGTTTCACTCTCCACTAAAGGGATGCGCCCCCTTCATGGGTTCGTTAGTTGAATTATTATTATTAGTAGTATTATTAGTATTATTATTATGTTTAGTGTTCCTTTTTCATTGAGATGTAACTGACACATAACATTATGTTTGTTTCAGGTGTACAGCGCAATGATTTGCGACCTGCATCTATTATGAAATTATCACCACGATAAGTCTAGTCACATCCGCCAACATGCATACGTACAGTGTGTTCAAATGTGGATGTAACTCTGGTTTTGTGAAACAGTCACACACCCAAAGAAAGGTCGCAAGCAAATCCTCTCCCCCACACTGTGTGGGAGCCGGCGGCGGGCTGAGGCCCACCGGCCCTGAAGCCAGACCGGCCCAGCACCGTCGGGGGGCTGGCACAGACGCGCCACTAACAGCTCATGCTTCCCCCATTCGAGCTTCTCCAACTGTCCCTGGCCAGGCCCACTGTCCCCTCTCCATCTCCTTCCACCCATAACGGGTCCTCCGTCGTCCCTTAACTCTCAAGACCGTGACACCTCCGAAGATTATCGGGTGATGACTTTGAAACACGCCCCTCCATTTCGGTCCCTCTGGTATCGTCTCACGATTAGATCCGCGCTACGCATCTCCATTCCCTGCGGCAGAAAAGTCTCCTGGCCAAAAGGACATCGAAGTCATCCGTGATGACGACCTTCGCCCCGTCATTTCTCACCAGGAGCGGTCTCGTGGATGCCCGGGGAGGGGCTGGGCAGCCCGGGTCCGGGGAGGGTCTCCGGCTCCTACGCAGCCGACACAGAGATGCCAGCGTCGTCCACTCACGCCAGCTTTGCTTACAAATAAAAAACATTTTTTGAAAAAGAATAAACCTCAGAGTTCAGCTTAAAAAGACCTTTCATGCGGTGCCTCTCCCCCCCCCCCCCCCCCCCCCCCGCCTCTGTCGCAAACTACAATACGTATGTTTATCTTGCTACTGAGAAGGGGGATATTAAAATACTTGAGGATTTGCCCCCCCGCCCGGCACGCCGGCTCCCACCGGCGGCCGGCCACATGGGCCGTGCGGCACAAGCAGCAATTAGGGCTTCGACAAACACAGGGATCTTTCCTGAGGTTGGAAGGCGCTTGAAAGGCCGGCTTTCTTCAAACTTCCAGGAACTGAGTGGCCCGGAGCCCGTCTATTTAAAGGTCAGCCCCGCCCGCTGTGTCTGGGGGGCTGCCAGGGACATGAGCTTATTCCCGGGCTGTCCGCAGCCACCGCAGCAGTGTCCCTTCAAAGCGAGGGGAGGGAGCCGCAGAGACAGAGGCCGGAGAGAGGTGGCAGACTGGACGTGCCGGACGCCTCCCCCTTGCCCGCTGTGCCCATTCAGGGGGTCCGCAGGGTGCTGGTGGTGGACAGAATGAGCTCCTCACATCTCCGAATCAAGTCTCGGTCCCCACTTTCAGGGATGCGATGGTCCTTTATGTCTCCCTTGAACTCGGCTTTCTGGGTCCGACCTCTGGAGACGCAGACGAAGAACAGGTGGCAGGAGGTGGCCCCACCCCCCTTTCTAAGGTGACCAGAGGGGCAACAGCCCACCTCGCCCACCAACTACATCCAAAACCTTTTGAAAGCGTGTCATCCTTAGCTCGACCTCACCTCACACAGCACCCGTCTATGCTAATGCGTATGCTCATTCCGTGTGCGCTGACTTCTGATTCAGGGGTGCTGGGCGCTGAGAAGACACTGACAGCACCCCTAATGGCATGGGGCCCGATGGGAGGGGACTTGGCACAGCTTCCCACCCCAAAGTCACCCATCTGACCACATGGACACGTCCACACACACCCCACGTCATGAAGTCAGTGAGGTAGGGAAGGACATAAATCCCACAGACCCTGTGCTACCCGGCAAGTTGTCCTCTGCGGGGAGGGACTGATCCCGCCCGCCAGGCACCTGTGAGGGCTTCCGGGAGGAGGTGGCACTTGAACGCTGCCTTCAGTGGGGCTCAGAGAGACAAGGAAGAGCAATCTAGGAAGGAAATACAATGGGACCCCAAAGGGCCTGGATGGATGATCATGACTGGCTGTCCAGGCTGAAGTCCCAGTGGGCGAGAGTCCAGGGGTCCTTCAGACATGCTCCCGGCCTCCGCGCACGGAGCTCCAACTAAATGACAGTCACCGAGCTACATCAGCCACCCGCACGATCCTGGTCCTCCCCACAGTGCAGAGCAGCAGGCGACCAGGTAAGTCACTGCCGCTGGGACCTGCTGACTGATCTGACCACAGGGCCATCTGGTACCAGGGCTGAGGGCTCTGCAGACACAGGAAAGGTGCTGGGGGGATGCAGGGAGGAGGGGAGGCAGGGAGGGAGGGAGGAGGGGAGGGAGGCAGGGAGGCAGGGAGGAGAACCCTGCCAAGACTGTGATTCAGTGCAGACCTTCCCGGGTGTCCGATTAGCCCGAAAAGACTTTGAAACCAAAACCAACAAAACAAAAACATGCAGCGAGCCAGCCAGGAAGCGGAGCACAGAACCTCCAGGACGAAACGTCACCAGAGGGGACCCAGGAAAGGGACTCGGTAACCAGAGTGTCTTCGGCTGAGTTCCCCAGACAGACTCTGAGATGGGAATTCTGGCTTCATTCTGGGGGACTCTTCTCAGGAGAAGGAAGTGAGGGGCACAGGACAGGCGGGGGGGGGAGGGGGTGCTCAGCTGGACACCAGCCGCAGCCCTGTCCCACCGGGGCTCTGGCATGTGGACGGCATCAGAGTTCACCCCACTTGGAAACAAGGGGGCTGGCCTTTTGTGCCGAGGCAGTAGAAGCTGGGGACGGGGTGAGCAACTTCCTGGATGAGGCAGCAAACCCCGAGAGGGGCTGCCATAAACCAACAGCTGGGGGTGAGTGTGCTGGACCGGCAACAGGGACCTCGGGCAGGACAGGGTAGTGTCCACTACGATTAGTCATAACTAGTGACTGGGGGGTGACCAGGAATGAGAACAGCCCTGTTTTTTTGTGTTTTTTTTTTCACATTTCCTGCAGTCGGGCTGCCTAAGCCAGAGACGGAGCCGGGCCTGAGTCAGCCCCTCGAATGAGTGTTGTCTACATCTGGGACCGTGAGGGACACAGAACAGAGGAAAAACAGCACTCTGGGACAAGCGGCCGGATAGACTCAGGTCGGTCTGGAGGTGAGACAAGACCCTTCGGAGAGTCTGATCTTGTCTCTGCCCCTCTCTCCGAAAGAGACTCCGTGTGCGAAGTCCAACCCAATGGGCTGAAGACACAACCTTCCTCTCCCATCCCCCCACCCCACCAGAGCAGGAAGCCGAGGAGACGCGTGGAGATCGGTCCCAGAGAGTGTACGCCACCAGACGGGCCAACGCCAGTGCCTGGCACACGCCTGGTGCTCAGGAAAAGCCGAGCAGCTTGCGGGCTGCACACACTGTAACCTCCACCAGCACCTCCAGTGCCCCTCCGGCCCTTTCCCAGAACTGGGGACCCATCTGTCAGCGGGGCTGCCTTCACCACCTGATGCTGGGTCAGCCCCACCTCGGCTTGTCAACTAAAGGCTTTTGCTGTTTCCACGTGCCCATCAACACACGAATGGATACACAAAACGAGGTCTCTCCGTTCGACGACACACTTATTATTCAGCCACAAGGAGTTAAGTACTGACACGTGCCACGAATGTCGAGGACGGAAGCTGGGCACCTCACGCCAAGTGCAATGAGGGGACAGGAAAGACCACGTGTGTACAGCATGCGTCCACCGCTGGGAACCGTCCGGACCAGGCAGATCCCTAGACACAGAAAGGGGCAGGCTGGTGGCTCCCTGGGGCCGAGGGAGCTAAGGAATGAGGGCTGATTGCCAATGAATACAGGGTTCCCTCTGGAGGGTGGTGAGAACTGTTGGAAAGTGGCTCACAGAGACGAACTTGCGCACTGGGCATGGGTGGCTCCCAGGGATGTGCATCTACCTCAGTGCCGCTGCTCCTGGACAGCGGTGCTGTCCCTCGACGGAGGACAGTAGCTCGGCCCCCAGGAGATCCCCACCACCGCGCAGAAATGCTCCCGGTAGCTTCTAGAAAGCAGTGTGCTCCTCTGACCCGCTGCTCGGACACACGGACCTGTGTCCCCAGACACAGCCTAAGGAGCGGGAAGACACACCGCAAGCGCTCAGGATCGCCACCTCCCCAGAGGGGCCACGCAGCGGACAGCCAGAAACTCTTCTTTGGTCTCCTGCCGCGGGCGATTCCTAAACAGTGGGAGTTAAATATTTACAGAGCTGTCACTGTCTGTTTAATGTTCGATCTGTACTTGCGAAGCCTGATGCAGGGGAATGCGGGAGGGATGGGGTTACACAACCCAGGGAAGCGCCTCGCAAGGGCCTGGCAGTGCCAGCGAGCTGGCCTCAGCACCCCCCAGGTGTCTGCAGCCTGCTGCCTCCTCCCCGACCCTCCCCCTTTCCCCTCCCCTCCCTCCCCCCCCCTCCCTCTCTCCCTCTCCCCTCCCCCTTCCCTCCCCTCCCCCTCCTCCCCCTCCTCCTCTTCCTCCTCCTCTTCTGCTGGTGTCCTCTGGTTGGGAGGGGCCTCCAGTGTTTAGTCTCCTTGTCCCCACACCCACTGAATACGATAAAATATCCTTCTTCACCAAAAGCCACAGGTCTCCTAGCTCTTAATGTTTTGTCAGGGTTCCTGAGACAATGGGGTGCTGTGGGGAGAGGTCTTCCTTAGAGTCCCCACTGCAGAGAAAGCAGAGCCCCACACGGGGGCAGGGAGAGGCACACGGTGGACGGGGAGCACTTTGAAGCCTCCCCCAAATCTTCCTGCTCACGCTCGTGCCGCTTATCAATGCCAGGCCCCCACCTGAACACGGGACATCCGGCTTCAACCGGCTCTGCCTCAGTTTCCCCTACTGCAAAAGATGATCCAAAGGCCCACCTGCTTCAGAGTCGCTTGTACTACGTGAGGCGGCACCGTGGGGGCATCGGGCACCACGTCACCTGCCTCCAATGCCTAGATCCCGGCTCTGCTCGGATTCAGCTGTGACCACGGCAGTTCCTGCCACTTGTCCCAGCCCTGCCCGGGCCTTATCAGCAACCGAGAATAAATGAGGAACGTTTTTGGTATCCGTGCCGCTGGTGATCGTTCATTCTAGAAATTCCCACCTGGTCCGTTCCCCCGGGGGGACCCTAAGGAGAGGCCGAGGGAGGGAGGCCCAAGGACGTGAGCTGCCGGTGCTGGGCCTCCTTCCCCCGGAGCCAGGAAGACAGCCCAGCAGGCCAGGTCCTTCTCTGGGCTTCTCTCTGCAAGGTGGGCTGAACCCACAGAGGAACCTCTGAATGCAGACAGGGAAGGAGGGGCCCAGGGGGGGAGAGCCGAGAGAAGGTGAGGAGGGAGCCAGCAGGGGTGCGGAGAAGGGGACCCAGAAAAAAGCCACTTGCAGCCACTTAAAATAATGTGCGGGGTCTTTGCAGTGAGCTGGGCATGAGTGTGCCCTGGGGGGGGGGGGGGGACTGCTGTCCGGGAAACACCTGCTGCCCCCTTGCTCCTGACTCCCGGCTCTCCTCCACGTCTGCTGTGGTCCGGGGCCACTCACGCACATCCCGTCGTAACCCTCCTTGGGGGGACGTTATCTCGAAATAAGAAACAAAGAATCATAAATATAAAATATTTTACTTTCATAAGGTAATAACTTACCAGTTATACACGCACGATATCGAAATTACAAATAACTGTGACCATCAAAGGAGGCCTGTCCGTCTTATGCTTCCACCTGAGGCTGTCATTGCGAACCAGGCTCGGGCGCCGGGTCCCAGGGGAACGACTCTAGCGCCCAGGGCCGGACCTCACACACACTGGCTCCCAGAAGACAAACTCCCTGACTCCTCAGTGTGAACAGGTCACTGTGCGAAAGACCGTCCCGGGTTTCGCTCATTTTCCCAAGGCCCCTCGTAAGTTTCTTCTTTCTTTTCTTTGTTTATCCCTTTCTTGTGATTTGCTGAGAGGGTCCTCTCTTTCCTCCCCTTCTCTCGGTGAACTGGTCTGACTCCGCCGAGTGGCCCCCAGCCCGCCCCCAACAACGCTCTCCCTGCCCTGCAGCACCGGGTACAGTGGGCACCTGCACCGGCCATCTCGTTCCGTCAGGGGCTCTCCTCCCTCTGGGACGTGGGGTCCCACGAGGCAGGGATGTGTGTCCACGCTGTTCTTCACGCCCTGTGTCGCCCCTAGTGTACTGGGCGCCCATCAGTACCCGCACGCAGGAGGCCTGTGATCCCACCAGCCCCCACAGCACCTCCACCTGCGCCAGGAGACCCCACAGGGTGGGCAAGACGTACAAACTCTGGTATTTGATCTGCTGTGGAGAGAGCAGCCTGGGACCCAGCTCCTCCACAGTCCCACAACCATAAACAGGAGACACCTAAATATTTTCTCACAGTCGCACATTATTGGCCGATCGAAAGGCTGAGTCCCTCTTTGGCCCACTGACTGGAGATACAAACTGTCTTTCTTGCAAAATACACGCCCACGGTTCAACATCCACAAGTTCTGATTTCCATTTCTTTCCAGTACGGCTGACCCTTGAACAACCCAGGCGTTAGGGGGCGCTGACCACACCCAGCTGAAATTCCACATGTAACTTTCGGCTCCCCCAATACTGGATTGTCCCCGGTATCCACGAGACCCGGGTTCCAGGGGCCCCGCAGACGCTAAAATCTGGATGCTCCCGACCGCCCTGTAAATCGGCACAGCTCAGTGCTCACTGTCAGCCCCTCACATCTGCGATTCCAAACCGTGGACGGGAAACAGAACAGCCATTCAGCGGAGAACCCACCCAAACGTGGACCCACGCTTCAAGCTCATGCTGTCCGAGGGTCAACTACAGCGTGGAAGTCAGCCATCTGCACAGCATGTGGAATTCAGACTCCCCGTAGTTTTACAATTTTTTCCTCTATTTTCTTACAGCTGTTTTGCCCCTCAGTAATTTGGTGACAACTTTTCTGCAAATCGGTATGATGTGTTCTTTCCAAAGTACTAGACTTAGTTTTCATGCAACAACCCTCTTTTTATACCCAAGTTTCCTCAGTTTATGTAATATTTAATTACCAATACAACTAACGTTTGGCCAGCAAACAAATCAACAAGTGGTAAAAGCCTTCTGGGCACACCAATATAAAAAGAACAAACAAACATTGAAATAGTGTTTACCACGTGCCAGAAACATCTTCTGAGCCTTTACACACACTAACTCACTTAATGCTCATTATCACCCTGGAAGGCAGGCATTAGGATTAGTCTGGTGGTACATATAAAGCATACAGGCACAGAGAGGTTAGTTAACTTGCCCAAGGTCACACAGCTAGTCTGGGGCAGAACAAAGCTTTGAATCTGAAAAACCGGGCTTAGGAGTAGCCCACCAGCCGGAGCGAGCCTGGGGACTCCTCAGTCTGCTGCACAGAGAATGGGCATCATCCGTTAATCGGGTACAGCAGCCAAATGGAGTCAGTTAAGAGTTTCTGCACTTCTCGCCCTAGACAGACGGATGTTTACGTCTGGCAATCAGTAAATGACTGACGGTCGTCGGATGCGGGTGGGCTGGGCCCGTTAGCAATGAGTTTATTAGCGCATCTTTTCCTGTTATGATGACTCTGTGCCCTGTGCAATCTGAGGGCAGGAGCCAAGATCTGGAGGGACCTAAACTTCCTTCCGTGTGGCTGCGGCACGGCCAGCTGGGGGGCGGGGGGCAGCACGGGAGATGAGGCTGGGCTCAGCGTTCAGGCAGAGGTGTCGGTCAAGAGGCTTGGGTTCAAACCCGTCTGCAGATGCTCTCGTGCCCAGTGGGCGGCTGCTGCTGCTCCTGGCAGACGGCGCGGCGGAGCAGATGGCCAGGCGGCTGGCGTGCTCGGCAGTCCGTGCAGCTGACGGGGAGAAACTCAGACATGAAGGCGGGCTCACGGGAGGCGTGGGGGCTTCCTCCCACTGGCCTTCCGAGACCCCCAGCGTGCCCACACCGCCAGGCCGGGAAAGGCCGCCCACACCTGTGCCGGGTGAGGCCCCGGAGGGGTGGAGGCCCTGAACAGAGGCCGGGCGCCCCTCCAGGCAGAGCAGAGAGAAGGCGTCCGATTGCCAGGCTCCCGCTGCAGTGTCCCTTCGACTGTCCTGTGCCACAGTCGGCAACAGTGTCCGGGAAGGCTGCTCGGAAGGGGCACACCCCCAGTTTCACAAAACGAGGGAGAAGCACTAGGCCTCCAAATGCTCGAACCCAGGCAAACTGGCACCGTGGCACGAGATAACACCTTTCCAGAAGACAGACTGCGGAAGAGGAAACGCTCTCCCACCCAAACCCCTCCCACGACAGGTGTGGTCTCCCTACGCCCTGAGAGAATGGGCGCACTGCGTGGTGCACCGAGGCGGCTTCACCAATCCAATGCACCCACAAACACCACCGCAGGCTTCCCTGCTCCCCGTTTAAGAGTGGAGAGCTGGTCACGTTCCTGTGCTCCACGTGTGCCCACGTCACGGAGAGGGGATGCCAGCAAGCACTCAGCACACCCTGTGTGCCACACGTATATTGTTGCACTTAACCTCATCCTTCAGCAGCTCAGGAGCCAGGGAAGGGGTTAGCCCAACACAGGAGACTAGGAGGGAACTTGGCATCTGCCTTCATCAACCTGAAGGCTGTCATCCTCCGTGAGGGGACTGTTTCATCAGAGGGCCCCTCTGAGGGTCAGAACCCACAGAGTTGGGAGAAAGCCCCCAGGAATCAGCAGAACCATCATCACCATCTTTCAATGGTAGTGAATGCCCCATCAGCGGAGGCAATCAAGGGCTGATTGGACAGACAGGTGGCCAGGTTGCTATACATGGGATTCAACTTATCTCATGGGTGGTTAGATAGGTCCGCAGCAGAAATTCTGTGAATGAATCAAATCTGAAGCATTTGCACAGAGGACCTAGTGTGTGCTGGAAACTCTACGGAGAACACAAATAAACAATGCAAGTCCCCAGCTCCAGTCCCCTAGAGCCTAAACACAACGGGTCGAGTTCATCCATTGGATCAGAAGTCTGTGAGCATCCCTGGGGGCCCACTGGGCTCCAAACAGTGCCTACAACACGCTCACGCCGCGAAGGCCACAACCGTTGGTGGCAACATTCCCCCAGATAGACGAGGACACAGATCGGACAGTTCGCTCAGTAAGTGGAGAAGCCAGCATTCAAGTTCAGCCAGCTCTGCCCAACTCCAAAGAGCACGCTCTTTCCATGACACAGGGGTGCAGTCATACAGAACCTGGTGCTCAGGGGAGCCCCTGCCCCAGGAACGTCAGAACTCTCCCAGTGCCTCCACTCCCCACCCACAGCCTTCGAGGTCCTTCCACCACTTGCCTGATAGGGCCGCACGGGCCCAGGTCAGTCTCGGGGGCACTGCCCCCCGGAAGGCAGGCTGCAGACGGGCCGGCTCTGCTGGAAGAGATGAAAGGCCGTGCCGTGCGCATGAGGTCCGAACAAAGGTCGACTGCTTTCATCAGGAAAACCCCAAATTACCCACTTTTACACACAGTCTTTCATCTCCTACAGGGCAAGCAGAGGCTGCTTATTAGAAAAGCTGCCTTGTCCACAGCCTCCCTTGTGGGTGGAGGGCGAATGTCAGCGTCACCCTCAGAATCACTGCGCAGCCTACACTGCGGGGCGGCTGGGCCGTCGGAAACACAGGCTCCACTCTGCCCTTTGCCACAGGACGCTGACTAACCGGACAGAGAGGAGGTCTGTCCAGACCAGCCGTTACCGCTGCATAGCGCGGCGCTGCCAACAGACGGCGGTCCCCGGAGCTGGCTGCAGGAGCCGCGGGCCAGCCAAGCCACCGCTGTGCGCCTCCCACACACGGCTGCAGCCCCAGGAAACGGAGGTTTGGGACCGCAGCGTAAATGCACAGGAGGGCTGACCAGCCCTCCATGTCTTCCTCCCTTCTTTCTCGCTCCTCTCCGGCCACGCTGGTATGGGGCACCTCCACATCACAGACCCCTGCGGTGAAAGACCTCGAGGTCACCGACACTGCTCCCCACATGCAGACGAGCTTCCTGAGGTCGTTACAGAAGGCAGGCCAGCATCCTCGTTCAGGGGGTCTGGAGGACAGACAGACGGCGGCTCCTGGCTGCTGCTAGGAAAGCCGGTGGCCCTCTGAATCCCCGCACTGCTCACACTGGCTTTGCCACTTCTAGTCCAAAATCTACGTTCCACTCGTGACTGTAAGCTCGTAAGACCAGGGGCCCGGCTTTAATCTTGTGTGTCCTCGGGACTCGGCCAAGCACCTGGCCCAGGGGGCTGCTTAGTAAACATGGGTGGGTAGCTGGACATATGGATGGATGGGCGGGTGCAGGAATGGACGAGTGGACAGACGGAAGGTGGGTAGGTGCACAGGTGGCCCGAAGTGCAGGCAGGACAAGGGGCAGGGAAACAGGAGGCTGCAGTTAGGGATCATCAAACACGCCGCCTGCAGCTGCCAGAACCAGGGAGCTTGCGGACCAGGGCCTGGCGAGGGCCCCTCCACACC